GATTTACTAATAAATTAGTAACCGCATACATAGAAAATTCATATAGAGAATATCTATATGAAGACTAGATTATTAAATTTCTTTAAAAATCATTTTTGTTCATAAATATGGAGCAATTAAAACTCTTTTTACACAAATTCTATGAACTGTTATCAATACTCAGAATGCTTTGAAACTGATAAAGAATCTATGAAACTTTTTTTCTAAATAATTACTGACCTATACACAGGTTGATAAATACAACACAAAAACACAGCCCTCAAAAATATATTTAAAGTTATATTATTGATTATATCACCGACTTTAAATAACTTAAGCTAGTAGAACTTAATTAAAAGTAAGCTTAATCAGAAAGTCACTTACCAACGACTTCTTGGTCTTTCATAGACATCAAGATCAGCTAAGGGAATATTCACGCGACCTAGAAATTCATCAACACCTAAAAATCCTCTATGCAATACCGTCAAAACAACAGCAGCCGTGTTTCCTTGAGCAGGTATGGCTCTGTGTGTGAAATATAAAATGTAGTATACAACTCTGCATTACAGTAATGTTGAAATTGCAAAATATAAAATATTCATTTTCACAAAAACTTTACATTAAAAATTTTAAATAATTATTTGAATAGGTCATGCATCACACAATGCTAACAATAATATAATATAAAGGCAAATTAACATATCTCACATTTCTATGGCAATATAAATAGTTTAATTGAGTTATGTTTTCACTAATTACTTTTAAAAAGTATGTATAAAAATTGCACACAAATAATATAAAATTACTATTATACAACATAAATTATATAATACATTAATGTGCATATGTACAAATATGCAAAACCAACTTATTATATAAATCTTAATGATACATAATTCCAGAATTAAAATCAGAATATTAATTAAGCACTAATGGTGTTAGAAAATGTGGCTAATTATAGTTATATTTATATATTCAGATTGAATTCATTAGCCAATTAATTTAAATATAAAATTATTTCAATCAGCTACTTTATGAAATAATGCATTATTGTTCAACCCAAATTTCAAGTGTTAGAGAATATTTGCATTTCGTACAGACTTGTTTAAAATGTATTATTGCATATTAGACTTTAATTATTGTAAAAACATTCTTAAATAGCACAATACTAAACAACAAGAAAATTATCATCTAAAATAAATAAAACCAGGCGGAACACTATATGGAGTGCTACAAAATGATTCAATAAGCTTCCGAAAGAAATAAAGATGACCAAAGAAAAGAATCAATTTAAAATTCAGTTAAAAAAATATTATAGAAAGCATGAATGTAAAAATGAATATACATATGATTGAATTATAAAATAAATGATATAGGATGTTGTAATGACATAATATCATATGTAGAAATATATATATATATATATATATATAATATATATATATATTAATTGTTTAATATGAACAAAACAGCACTCAGATTTGTTTAACACAACTTTATTTTATGATTACAGACGTTTCGAGACCATGGTGTGTGACCATTTGATAATCCCCAAATTTTATTCCATGAGAAAGACTTATTTAAACGGAGCATGGCAGAATCAATGTTAATAGTTCGGACTAACAATAGCATAAATCTAAGAACCGACACAAATATTTACATGAACAATTATATAAACAACATCATTAATAATTTTATAAATTGTTTCATTTATCTTATTTCTTTTCAATAAATAATTTGTTTTTTTCATTTTTATATCGATTTTGTATGATGCGATAGCAACTCCTTCTGTTTACTTATAATGATACCCTCTCTGTCTCCATCTATATAAGTACTTACTTCAAATGTTTAGAATATTTCTGTAAGTGTTATATGTTTCTTTAGTACGTGTCAAGCATTGCAAGGAATAGTTTGGTGTTTTTTGTAACCAAAAATTAAATGAATTTAAATAAATTATTGAAGAATGTGTAGTATATAAGTAACTGTTTTTTGAATTACACTGAGATGAGACACACCATGGTCTCGAAAGTCTGTAATCTAAAATAAAGTTGTGTTAAACAAATCTGAGTGCGTTTTGTTATATTAAATAATTAATATTCGTTCCACTCTATCTAAAATTCTATATATATATATATATATCTTTGTATAGATATTTTGTTCGATCTCTCATACCAAGCACTTCTCCCTCTCTGAGATGTATAAGATTTACATTAAAATTCAAATATATATATATATATATATATATATATATAGGTACATTGTGTGAAAATAATGATTTAAAAAATGAAACAGTTAGTAAAAAAAATTCATTTATAATGCTTAGATAAATATAATAAAAATATGTGCATAAAAATTGATACTTGCAAAGTTAAAACAAATTCCAATTCAATTTATAAATGTAAATGATATAAATGTATATTTACTCACAATTCACATTCTTCATGCCATTCTAAATTAACTCCAGATTTTTCCTTCACACTTGTTTGAAATTTATCCTTTCCAAGACCAATTGTAACAAAACAATCATTTGTTCCATTTTTACCTTTTGCGATTAATCCTCTTGCTCTTTGAACTTTAATTTGAAGATAATAATAAATAAATTTTATTAAAAATTACAAAAATGTTTTAATTTTTGCTGTTTACAAATTAAATTTTTATACATAAATATATGCTGCACGTTATCTTATTTAGTATAATGACATATCATAATGACTAACTATTGTGGAATTAGATAAACATTTCAAATATGAATCATTGTTATACAAAATTCCATAAAGTACCGTTACGATTAGTGAAGACAAGTTTTCGTAATATATGGGTTAAATATTTTAAAGAGTTCAGTAGATAATATTATTTTAAAAGTGATTGTATCTATGAACAACTAATTGTGCAAGAAATATATATATATATATATATATATATATATATATATATATATATTGTTTTATCATAAATATTGACAATAATTAGGCATAATATTATTGTTTTTTTTAATATACTCTACGCACCTGTCACTTGTACATGCGTTGGACTCCACATAACTTCATAAACACTATCAATAAATTTAGTTCAAAATAAAATATAATAACAAAATTTTAACAAACAAGCAAACACTAATAAACCATTTCGTAAGCATTTGACAATTCAATGAAACGTCACGTCAAAAATCTGTCTATTTTCGATCGCTTCATGTTCTGCAACATCGAAGAAATAATTAATGACGAGTAAAAAATATAACATATTTTTAACTGATTTAGTTGTTAAAATTTTGTTGATATGAAAATTTTTATGGGTTTATTTAAATTGTTTGCATACGATATATATATACATTTTTTAATTTATTTATCATTTTCAATATTTAATTTTTATGCTTTTCATTTTAATGTTGGCACTGTGAAGTATGAAAAAAGTGGAATGTTAAAACCAAAACATGGTTAGGATTTCGAACAAAAATATTTCCATGTCTCTTGTCCCTTTTCTTGTTTGACATTTCTGTTATTGTTATTAAACCCTTGTTAAAACAGAGCTCTTCAAATAAATTTAGTTTCTTAATGACTATATAAGTTGCACCTTCATCAAAAATATTTATTGTATATCAAACACCACCCTGATTTGTGCTAATGTCTAATAATGTCTGAAAAGAAAGTTAAAAACTTGAATAAGCATGCAACTTTGGAATGTAAAGATTTGCACGCCTATTTAAAATCACGTCCTCCAGAATTGCTAGAAAAGCTCTACAATCATCCTGCAATTTGCTTAGCTGTTTATAGGTACTGGTTGAAGATACCTCTACCAATTATGTTTAATAGATAACAAATAAACTTCAAAATTATTTTAGGGAACTGCCTGAATTAGCTAGACAATATGTTATACGAATATTATTTGTAGAACAACCTGTTCCACAAGCGTTGTTGCATCGTGGGGAACCCAAGCTTATTCTAAGTATGTATGATTATTGAATGTTTTCTTAAAGTATAACTTTAGTTCATATTTAATTTATAATATAGAGAACATTTGGGTGTAAGTGATGCTCTATCAGAACTTAATGTTTGGAAAATTGTCTCAATACCAGGAGGTCTCAAGGCATGGGAGTTAACACCTACATTTAAACGTAACTTAAAAATTGCTTTATTAGGAGGGTATGATCTTTATAATATGTCTGCGCTATTAATACAATTTAACGTTTATAATTAACCTTGGCAATACACAGTGGCAGACCATGGTGCATGTCCTCCCTAGATGCAGATAATAAAGCACGAGATACAGCATTTTTGGATGCTTATTGTATGCAAAGATGGGAATGCCTTTTACATTATATGGTGGGTTCAAACCAAACTGAAGGTATATCAGCAGATGCTGTTCGAATATTGTTGCATGCAGGTCTTATGAAAAGGTAAATGAATCCTAATTTGTGTTGTATAAGAAAATGTATTATAACTATATAGTTTTAAATTTATTAAAAATCATTACTGGCATTTGATACATATACTATTTTTTGTATGAGATTCTGTTACCTTGGTTATAGTAATCTTTCTCTTTTTGCCTGATGTTAATTAGCCGAAGATCAAAATGTTAAATTTGTAGCGGCCTGTGAATAGAGTTAATAATTTTGGCAATGAGCATCTCTTTGCAACACACAATTATTATATGTATATATCTTTTTATTTTATCATATATTATACATTTTTAATTCAGAGATGAAGAAGATGGTGCAGCTGTAATATCAAGATTAGGTTTTCAATTTTTGCTTCTAGACACTCCAAGCCAAGTTTGGCACTTCATGCTCAAATATTTAGATTCTGCTGAATCAAAAGGCTTATGTTTAATAGAATGCTTAGGACTTCTATTTCAATTATCCTTCAGCACACTGGGAAGAGATTACAGTACTGAGGGCCTTTCTCAAGGATTATTGACATTTTTGCAACATTTACGTGAATTTGGATTGGTATATCAAAGAAAGGTATAATATAAGATATTAAAATAAAAATAAATATATTATGATGAGTGGACAATTATAGAGAAAAGCTGGAAGATTTTATCCAACACGTTTGGCAATTAACTTGACAGCTCATCGAACAGGTACAACAGACTCATTAAATGTAGTTCAATCAAGTGCTAATGAGCAAAAGTCGAGCTCAAATGAAAAGGAATCTCAACAACGAACTGGATATATAATTGTAGAAACAAACTACAGAGTGTATGCCTATACTAATAGTTCCTTACAAGTCGCTTTGTTAGGATTGTTTACAGAATTACTTTATAGGTGTGTTATTTTAGAAAATCATATAGTCATTATAGAAATGTGAGGCCAACTACAGACTTTACTTCGTAGGTTTCCTAATCTAGTTGTGGGCGTCCTAACAAGAGACTCTGTTCGTCAAGCACTGAGAGGGGGCATAACAGCAGATCAGATAATCAGCTATCTTGAACTGCATTCTCATCCATCGGTAATTTACTTATTATCATTGATTTATAAATAAATATAAACAGTGTGTATGTTTATAGATGATGCATGAATCAGCAATTAACAATAATTCTGCATTACCCGCTACTGTTATTGATCAAATTAGATTGTGGGAGAATGAAAGGAATAGGTTTACATATACAGAAGGCGTGGTTTACAATCAATTTTTATCTCAGGTATGTTGCTATTGTTTGTTAAAATAATTTGAATTAATATAATTTCACTTTTCTTCATTCTAGGTGGATTATAGTGCTTTAAAAGATTATGCTCAGCAAATGGATGTTCTTGTGTGGCATAATGACCGCACAAGAACTTGTGTTGTGACAAAAGAGGGACATGAGCCTGTAAAAAAATTCTGGAAACGTTATTCAAAAGCCGGCAGCTAACTGATATAATGCATCATTATAATTATATTATTTATTATATGGAACATACACTTTTTTATCAATAAATGATTTAAAAAATCAAGATTCCAAATTACTTATGGTATTTAATATTAAAGTAAAATAACTTTATGAATATTATACATTATGCATGTAAATATATATAAAAGTTAAGAGGCCATATTTATTGCAAATATATCCTAAACATGTAAGTGTTTTATGGCAAGCCATTCTACAAGATTTTAGTCCATATTAGTCTTATATAATAATAAATAAATTTCAAAATAAAACTTAAGTTTTAATAGTAACTACTGTTTAAAATTGATCCATTCTAATAATAAATTCCTGATGTTTTATAAAATATTCAGCTGAATTTAGAAAAAAATATGGTAACTTAATTTCATATTAAAACATCATAGTTCAGTAAAAAACACACTTCTTAATATGAATTATCTAGGAAAATTTTACAACTAATACGTAATAATAAAATGATCCATTTAAATTAATTATTAAATCATGTAACATTACATGGTGAACAAATTATAAAACTTCAACAAAGTTTTTGTCGTTGTATTTACATTTTTGTTACCATGTTCTATTAAATATCAGGGATGAAAACATTTTTTTTTTTAACTAACACAAATATATTCAATTGCTAAGATTAGAAGTAAACGTGGTTGATAATCGGTAAGTGTAATATATTTGTATAAAATTATTATCTACGATATTGTTACAGCGATCTATTCATGTCATTGTCAAAATTGACGAATCCAAAGAATCCTTGTTTATAACTATCATACCTTCATAGTCAATCAATTCCTCATACACTTGTTGATCATTCAACTCATCCAGTTCTTCAATAACGGCATGCTGATCTATTTCAAAAGTTTCTTCATCAAATTCTTGTCCATCGTCTTCATACACCATAGTCTCATTTACTTCAATTATACTGTTTTCCGGATCTGTTTTAATATCTTCAATCTATGATATAAGAACATAAAGTTATTGTTTAAATGCTTTTTCTGATTTTCATATAAAAAAGTTTTTAATAATTACTTGGACTATTGTCATTTCCTGCAGTTCATGTGATTGGGGCCGCGTTTGAACCCTTCTTTGTCCTTTATTGCCTCGCATAGTGGCCCCGGAATATTGATGTCTTCGTTCATGTACCCTGAGATCGCCAAATCGCTTGAAGGCGGCGGGACACAATTTGCACTTAGCGGGTCGTTCGCCGGTGTGTTCCATGCGGTGGAAATTTAAACTCGTCTTTTGGAAAAATCTGAAATTTGCGAATTTCATTTAATCTATATATTAATGATAAAGTAAATTTAAATTTAATTACTGTTTACTTACGTTTGTGGGCAAATATCACATTTAAACGGCTTGATTCCGGTATGCATCTGCTTATGCCTGGTAAACGATGTTACAGTCTTCATACGTTTGTTGCAAATTTTGCACAAGAATTTATCTGCATTATGATGTGTATTCATGTGAGTTTCAAGACGACCACTGGACATAACTTTTCCGCATTTATTGCATTCAACTTTAACCACTTCCTCGCCCACATCGTCAAATTTACGTGGACGATTCCTTTTGGGTATTGTTAACGTTTTCAGATCATGAACGTGCCTATTATGAATATCGAATAAATGTGCACCTTGAACGCTGATATGGCATCTATAGCAATAATAAAAGTTGCTTTTGGAACTCTTACATTCATGAGTAATCAAATCTTCATCTTGAGGAAAAACGCGCAAACATTGTCCGCACTGTCGTTCGCCAGGATTTTTATGGAAATTCATGTGCTGTTCCAGCGCTTCTGGCTGCAGAAATCGACAACTACAAATTTCACACATATGAAGATTATCGGGATGAGCAACTGTGGTATGATGGTGTAGTAAATATGGATAAGGAAATCTTCTACCGCACGTTTCACATGTAAATTTATTTCTACTCGATTCAGTGTGAACGACGCGCACATGCTTTTGCAATACACTTTTCTGTTTGAAAGTTTTTTCGCAGTGCGTACAAGCATATTGTCTTTGCTCAGTATGAGTTTCCATATGCGATTGCAATGCCTTCCCCATTCGGAAACTCTTTCCGCATTCGTCACACAAATAATTTCTGGTACCTTTGTGAATGGACATGTGCTGGCGCAAGCTGGTCGCACTCGCCAACATCGTAGGACACTCCGAACAAAGAAACCTCTTCAGCCCTTTATGAATATAGGACATGTGATTCAATAAGCCAACTTTGTTTATAAAAGTTTTACTACATACTTCACATGTGGGAAGTTT